ATGGGACTTACCCTCTCCAATAAATAGAATGAGGGTAATCAGTATCTTATACCATTGTGGGCTATGAACTTGGTTCAGATCTAATGCAAAAGTTAAAGCTGTACTGGTAGGTGTGTCATACCCCTCTGAGCCTGCTGCTGGGACGTCACCTGGTACATGCCTGCACCAAGAGACACAGAGGATGCTCACCAAAAACTTCACAGGTCAAAGCATTTTCATTGAATAAACTGGATTAAATGTCTCTATAGCTCCTAATTTTGAAATTAAGTGCAATGCAATTTAATCTTCCTTAGAAGCAGCAAGAGTGGTTTATTTCTAAGTGTTATATTTGTTTCTAAATGTTTTACTTCCTGTGCTATTATACATACTAAATCTTTTACTGCTTGCCCATTACATTCCTACGCATAAGGGATTCAGAGGCTCTGCTAAGAGAAGGAGACCCGTGTGATTAATGGATTATTAGTAAAAGTTCTCTTCATTTGCAAGACATTATCCTTCTTGCAGTGCTCCCAGCTCAGCAGAGGCAACTGTGGTTTCCTGCTACCCCCAATGGGAAGTTTGTTTGGCTCCTGTTCTCACTGCCCGGATGCAAGAGTATTTTAAGCAAAAAGTGTTTAGAATGAAGGAATGTTTTTCACAGGCTACAAACCATCTGCAAATTCACCAAATAATTTTAGTTGCAGGAAAAAGTAGAATTAGATTTAGAAAAAAGCTGGAGGAAGTGTTACTTTTCTAACCAGTAAATTTTTCAGTGTTTTAAGCATCCAAACACATTTCTGGGGAGATTTCATTGAAATCTTTCTCCTACTTGTCAGGTGGACACAACCATTGAGCTCGGAACACCTCTCACGGGAAGTCACAGTAGTTTGCAATTCATTGTCCACAGAGGGCGACTTCGCTGCGGCCTCCCAGTTGTTCGATGCAGAAACAGGACTCTGAAAGCCCCAGGCAGCCCCGGTCTTTGCGCTGGCATCTCAGTTTGGTAATTAGAACCAAAAAAAATAAACCAATTTATTTTAAAAGCAATGGCAGCAGAATCTCAGGGACTGTGTCTTATGTGGGAAAGCTCACTGGTACCACAGCAGGTTGAACAAGGGTCTGTGTGGGAGATACACATCACTATTCATTTTACCTGATGCAGTGATGAAGTAGGGACCAATAACTAACACTGGTAGGCTGAAAACACACATTTGAACAGGTATTTAACCGCTTTAGCCCTGTGAAGTTCCAGGCAACAGCAAAATTTGGTTGCACACTCCGGTGAGTGAAAGGCCAGAAAACTGCTCAGGATGAGTACTGCAGTCTTCTATTTGTTACATTTGTACTGTGTATACACTGGAAGCTGTAGAATTAGTCTCAAGAGGAGGAGGTGGCAGGAAAGCAGACCAAATTTGCCAGTGCTAAGGAGACAGCTTAGAGGATGTTGCTGAGAGGGTTATCTCCACATCCACTTGGCCTCTCTTGGACCATTATGCCACTTCCCACTTAGGCAAGGCTGTAGAGAAGCTCTGCTAGCTACCACAGGGCAGGGAAGAGGTCAACACATCAAAGGTGTGGAGCTCTTCAGTAGAGAACTCCCCTCCACAAACCTGAGGTTCGCAGAGGATTTAAGTGGTCCTAGGCTGTTATTTCATGTTCTATTTTGAGACATCAAGTTGCTTTAACTGGATTTCCCAATGAATTGCCAGCCAGCAATGGGTAGAAGTCTGGGTGTTTCTTAGTTGCTCCATCACATGCTAGGCAGCACTACAGAGAATCAAGCCTCAGAGAAACACTTGCTGGCCCATGGCCCGGCACCACCGGGACTTCACAGCACTGACCTGGCTGTTGTTTTTTCACCCTCATGGGAATCATCTGTGGCAACATGACTGTGACAATGTACTAAATACCATCTTCCACTCTATAGACTTCTCCTTGCCTCTATGCTACCCTCAATCCTTTGGGGAATTGTTATCAGGAGCTATGACACCACGTTAACCAGAGAAGGGAAGGATGGAACGAAGATCTTCCTTTCCTTGCAGTAAGATGCTTTACTTGCTCAATTTTGTGTTTAAAAAAGGGGCCTTTGAAATTCTTAAAAAAATGAGTACTTAGCTTTGCTAACTACCAGGGAACAGTAAGGCAGCACTAGGTAATGGCATCCACCCACCCAAGATAGAGGGGGATGTTCAGGCTAGAGGACATAAAACTCTTTCCTCTACTATTAGGCTAGCACAGACAACCTCAGTCTCATTGCAAATCCTTTCCCTAGCACCTCCTCTGAAATTACTCCACCCTGTAGTCATTTAACTTTAGGAACTTTCATCTTGTGCCCCACTCTGAACTTGCTTTGACCTTTGCCCTGTTAGTCCAAACTAAGAGGAGAATAAACACAGAAAGGAAAAACTTTGTGTTGGGAAGGGATAAAGATGTCCCAGAGAGAAAACAGGCAGAAAGTAAGTTTTTCTTTAATCATGTTTAGTTCTACAGCTCTAAGGGAACTCTGAAAATGATTCTTCATGGCATTGAAGAGAGGGTTCCTATGGAAACATCTGCAGAAAAAGAGAGACAAACATACAAGATCTGGGATGACATGTGAAAGATAGCATTGAAGAACACACAGAAATACAACAGTGGGGAGAAGGAATCAGCAGGCGGCCAGTGCTGCCCAACCCACATGATCAAAAGTTAAAAATGCAGTTCTATTCAAATTATGAGACTGGCCAAAAACTACGCAGGCTTTGGGGCACTTTAAACAGCAGATTTTGGTTCATACATGTCTGTTCTTTAAACCTTTGGGATTAGGGTACCAAGTGTGTCCAGCCTGCAGGTTAGAACTTTGTTTTTTAAGCAAAATTTTCATACTGTTTTTAATCACTCATGGAAATAGGTGATGCTCTCATTTAAATGGAAGAAGGGTAGAGCACAGAAGATGTTGCAACAGGAGACATGGGGATTCAAACCGTCAGTAGGAAAAGAAGCTAATATTCCTCATTTGGTGTTAATGGGGAAAGTAGCTAACATCCCCTCCCATATCCCAGTGAAAGAGTGTTCTGTTAAGGACTGGAGAAACACACCAAGCCTTCTGAAAGGGGTTAAAGCACCTAAAGCAGAAAACAGAAGCTGACAAAGCAGAAAGGGCATCTCAAAGGGAAGTAATGAAGGTAAAAGAAGTAACGGCTTTGGCAATGCTGGTTGAGAAAACAAAGGAAAAATAGCTGACACAAAAGCCACAAAGATATTACATCACATAAGAGGCCAGCAAGGCACAGACAGCATTAGCTAAAGAGAAAGAATACCAAAGAGACAAACAGGACAAAGGACTTGCAACTGCCTGAACACAGTAGAGTTCACACAGATCCTTCAACAGTCCCTAAGTTCCTGAGACACTCTTCTCCATTACCATTTTAACTCTATCCTTTCTGAACTCATTTGACAGAATGCCTTGGATTTTAACTCCTATACATTAATCTTGTAAAGCGTCACCTGCTTTCAATGGTTCCATACTTACATACTGGAATAAGCTCTTCCCTGCCATGTAAGGACACAAAACCCTCAGTAAACCTTTCTCAAACTCTCTCAACTATGTCATTTACCCCATAGCCATGCCTTTAACATGAAGCTTCATACTGTGAATCACTCCTCTGAACTCCAAGTTCTTTGTTAAGGACCTGGTCTCTTTAAGTGACATCATCAGTTATCCTTCCTCAGCCATTCAGTGATGTCTGGGTCAAGGAGGCTGCACCAGCCACTGTCTCGAGAACTTGCATAAAGGAAGAGTAGGGGTAACAGACTCAAGGTAAGGCTCTGTGAGGCCATCTATATTTTTCTCTTCAACGTACTGTTATTGACAGAGTGTTGAGACATTAACCTGTATCCATTTAACAGTTTAACTTGAAAAGGCAAGATCTAGGACCCAGTTGTCTGAAAGTTCTCTGCATAGAGGTGACTTGAACAGCATTCTCAAGTCCACAATCAATCATGCACAAGTCCCTAGAGTCACAGTATCAGCTTTAAAACCATGATATAGAGAGCTGTAATATTTGTCCCTCCTATCAAGTCAGTCATTGTCATCCCCCAGTCATCAGGGTATGGAGCTTATTTAAATAAATTAAAAAAAGAAGGCTTAGGCTTTCATTGAGTAACAGCCAGAAATGTTTAGTCTAGATCTCTGCCAACATCGCAAAACCCCCTTGTATTTTAAGATGACAAATTTGATTCTTCCCGAATGTTGTTAACTTAAATCGGTTGTAGAAAGCAGAGTTACTTAGACAGCTTAGAAACCGAAGGGTTAACTTACTGAAACATGCAGAGCACCTCTGAGCAGATACTGCTTTGTACTTGAAAGCTGGAAGCAAATGCCCAGGCTGTACGCTGGAAACCCTACAGCCAGCGTAGCCCTATCTAATGAGCCTCCAGTGCCATCATCTGGTACAACCCGTACCTGGTAGTACAACACACCACACGCTTCCCAACCAGAATAATACATGTGCAAAACAGCAGGGCAGAAAGATATACTGAGTCACAGGAAGGTAACACACCCTCTGTCACCCAACAAAAAAAAGAAGACAAAACCCTCTCTCTGAGCTCGTCTGGGGGCTTAATGTTCTGAAGTCAATGTATCTTCAACAGTGATAAGAGAAATCAAAAGAATACTCCACATGGGTGCGCAGAGAAAACTCTTGACCTAAAACTGTACTTGAAATTGAAGAGAGCAGACAGATTCAACACAAATCAGGAGGGGTTTTGATATTCAACAACCATCTCTCCACATTCTCTCCCCCTCATGGTTTTTATAATTGAGTCACATAGTAAGAAAAAGATGTCAGGGCAAGTTATTAATGGTTTGGGGGACTGGGGATGTGCACTGACAATAATTAATAGCATCTGCCTTAAGTAACAGCATCCTTAAATACATCTTTTTGTTCCCATTCTCTCCCCACCACTTATTTCCACTATTCCTTCATGGCTTTGCATTACTCATTTGCTGAAACCTGATTGAACTGTTTTATTTATCCAGCTTTTCCCACTTTCACCTAAAAAAGCAGGTCCTCATCCAAAACAAGTCGTAATAAGAAGGATTAATTTATAAGTATAGCCTCCAAGGATTCAACAGCCAATATTAAGAGTTCCAAAATCATTCCATCTCCTTGTGACAGGAAAGGATCATTGCAATGTGCAATTCACCTCAGGTCTCTCAGAGAGCACTAGGCTTGGAAAAGTACAGGCAGTGCAGCATTGTGAAGTTCAGGCCCCAAAAGCTGTGTAACTTAGTAGGGATATGTACCAAACTAATTATCCCTGTATCTGGTTAGTTAAAGATCACTACTGCCCTTGCACTGACAAAGCCTTTCTGGGGCTAGGTTCATGGGTGCTTACCTACTGCATGATCTATAAAGCTACATGAAGCTCCAGAGGACCAGAGCAGCTTCTGATAGTGCAGGTCCTTATTCCCACTCCTCTCCCACCTATAAGGGAACCCTGCATGCAGCAAACTCTTACCAATGGTTGTTATTGCAGAGATGGAGAAGAAGAAAGACCCACTGAAGTCCCACCTGCCCAGGCTAGTGGTGTTTCTCTGGAGGGTTATGCCACTCTTGTAGGCTTGGACGATACTCTGCGAAGAGAAATATGTGAGATCCCACAAGCCCCCTTACGGCAAGTTTGCATGACTGGCATTTCCAGTGCTGGCTGGTAAAGTGCAACTACTTCCAAATCTGTTGCTTCCCTTTTAATAGAGGATATCCTGAGCCTTAGAGACCAAAGAGCTGAGGAGGTCACAAAAGCCAAAATCCAGCATATTGTCTTTAAGGAAAGCGCACTGGGCATTTACAGCATAAAGAAAAGTTGCATATGCAGATGGTAGATCATATAGGTAAGTGTGGAAGAAATTGGAGAGCAAGAGCTACCTAGAGAAAGTTTAGCTAGTTCATTACGAGAACTACCTTATGACATATTCATTAGGAAAAGAAAGCATTTCCAGATGGGATATTCTCATGGCAGAAGCCCCAGAACAGCAAATATACATGCACATGTAAATGATACAGATCACTGTCTACACTGAGGAAGAATGTATATCGTGTGAGGAAGGAGATGAACGCTACACAGGATGGCCAGTCTACTAGTATTGAGCAATATGTTCCCACATCAGGGCTATAAATATGAATAAATGTGTTATATTAGCATGATGCCCAATTCTGTTCAATTTACCTGGGAAATATTCAGAAGTCACTATGCTGAAGTGTGCAGTTATGCCAAAATAAGGCATCAATTGTCTTAACAGTGCCCATATCTGACTATACCTTCTCATGCCAATAAAGTTAATGATATTGAACTGAGTTGTGGTCAAAACAACATTAATCACAGTATGTACACTAAACATTTCACTGATGAAGAATTCTTGAGAGTTGATTATCCTGAAAAGAAAATTGTAGCCAAGAATACATAAAATTCGTCACCTCTGGGAAAGTTATGCAGATATCAAACAATGCTAACTCTATCCTAACAATAAGGCTGCTGATAAAGCTATCACAACTGATAATAAACGGAATCACTGTCAGGTTAGATTTGCATCAGTTGCAAGTTTCATAAAGAAGTCGTACTTTATATATCTATCAAAAGTAAACCAACACTTCAGGCCTGCAAAGCAAGGAAGTCCCATTTTACTGGTAACAGGCTGCAAGTTATTAAAATTATACAGATCTGTGAATTGCAAACTATTTTCAGGGACCTAGGCAGCACCTTAACTACAAAGACCGTTCTCTTTTTTTCTCCAGAGCTACTAGTTCTCACATTAAGAGCAAGGAGCAGATCAGAGATCAATGCAATTTTTTCAAGTAAGAAACGCTGTTTGATAGTTGCATTATCAGAAGTGTCTTCGTTTACTCATAACTCAAGGCAATTTAAACCATTCAGGGTCACCTTATGATCCATTAAAGCCTAACAACATGCTCTTCTTTGCACAAGATAGAGCAGAGAGGCCTTGCTCTGAAAACAGCAAAAATGCTGTATTACGCTTTGCTTCCTTCTGTGAATTGTTGCTGTAACTTGTGTGGGGCAACTGACAAAAAAATGAGTATGCAGCATAAGTGACATGAAAAAGAAAAATAAACAATAAAAAAAATAATCAAATTTGCTCCTGTCTCCCCTCACCCAAAAAAAAAAAAAATATATATGAGGGAAAAGGCTGTGTCAGGAAGCCTCCAGTGTGACTTTTTTTGCAGACAATAGCCTAGTCAGGAATCACAGTCTCCATGAACATCATAACTCCCAAACTATACCATATGTCAAAGGAGACACTGGAAATTTATACAGATGACCTTTATCTTCTCCCCTCCAGAAACTAGTGGTTAAGTTTGAAAATAAAAAGCTTGTTACTCTCTCCAACTTTCCTTCTGTAGCCTGTGATCTCCACTGTTCTAAGTGGTTAGTCTTGAACATGTATCTGCTGGAACAGCAGCAGTCCAGCTCTCAGATAAGTCAACTTGATCAGGGAGACTCTAATGTACAAATATAGCATGTTCATTCTCCTGCTTGATGTCTTGCTGATACAAGCTCAGCAGCTGACAATATTACACGCACATCGAGCTTTTAAAGCCAGATGGATTTAAACCGCAAAGGATTGTAAGAAACTGTAGCTGAATGGGCCCAAAGGAATGGAAATTTCTTCATGTAGAAAGGGGAAATAAGCCACCTGTACAAGACATCATGTGAGAAGCAAGGAGCAGCAATCAGGTCATTAAATTTCACATCACTGCACACTTCAGTTCTACATGGTTTAGGACCAAGAGACTGCCCAGTTGTAAGCACCCATGTCAGCTTTGCAGTGATTTCTGACAGCACTGTATCCCAGAGTCCTTGTCTTAACTTTCCCTGAGGTGATGCTACAGCCAGGAAGTACAGCATTTGTCTTAAGAATTTGTGAGTAGGCTAAAGCATTTGCACTAAACGCCATGATGATCCTGCACTGATCTCAATGACAAGGAAGGTACCATTACTCATTGGCAAAGAGCAAGCATTGAGCTTGCAGCATGCCAGCTGTTTCCTCTTTCTGGGATTGAGGCACTTAGCATGTTTGCAGTAGGTCTTCAAAAGCCTTTTGCAGTAAGTCTTGTTAAATCTTGTTATCAAACATCCAGATAACACCATTAACTACTAGGCTCACAGCATCTGGCACAGCCCCATTCAGGGAACACTACATACTCATGCAAATCAAAGCCACTTGAATAAACAGGCACTCCCAGGAGAAACTCAAGTTCATTCACTTAACTGTTAGAATGAAGGAGCTACCATGACATCCTTAAAAAGGATTCTAGAAGGTGGAGATAAAAAACCAAAACGCAGTATCCTTAGTAAAAAAAGTTTTGTTATAATATCTAGCATCAACCTTTGACACAGCAACAATGATAGAAAATTAAAGATTGATTGTTCCGAGAACAGTATAACTAATGGAGCTTGCCTTCCTACAGATGTGCTCAGAGGTGGATTCATGGAAGAGAAATCCATAGAGAGCTATTAATACACAGAAATTACGTCTGGCACAGAAAGTCATTGGATTACAAACTCCTGAAGGCTGAGTGAGCATTCAGGAACATAACAGTGTATACTTGCCTTAATTTAATATGCCCCTTTAGACTTCTGCTTTTGGCTAGTTGTCTTTTTCAGACAAGATTTAAAAGTGGTTTACAACAGAACACGGGAGAAAACAGCTAATAAACACCAACAGAACAGCTGAATTATCCCTGCTTTTCCCATTGAAGAGGCACTGATAGGTCTCCACTTATTTTTCAAAAAGCACTTGAAGTGTATTTTGGGCTGTAGGTTCAACATTTACAAAAGAGGAACTAAGTCATACACATTGTGTAACACCTGCTTGGTTCCCTTAGCATGCCTTTTTGAGAACTTTGAGACTTTTGTTTTGCTTTACACCTATTTTGAAGTGAAATCCTAAGGGTTTTCCTTTTTCTCTTAATTAGGCTAGTAATTTATGCAGTGTCTGCTCCAAAACCTAATGCATTAAAAGGCACCTAGTAGAAGTAGCATCTCAAATCAGTGTTCAAAAGCATGCATCTGCCTGATCTAAGCCAGTCAACACCACCAACTGCTCAAACACAACAACTCTTGAAATTACAGAGCTTGGGCTTCATATTTTGGGAACTTGAAAGGTCATGCGTGCAACTGAAAGTAGTATAGGGAGGAAACAAGTGGGTGGTTAAAATAATCAGAAACAGAACTCTGTTCCACTTTGATTTCTACTGACAGACAAGCTACACAACATAAAGTAATTACACTTCTCTGCACTTCCCCCTTCCAGTAATAATCTACAGTTTACAGCAACTATTACATGTTTAGCTGACAATGCTTAAACTGCAAATAAAAATTTCTATGGAAATTATTATAAACTACTATAGGATAAATTATTAGATTCTTAGGCCTTCATGAGTCGATGAAACTTTACTTTCAGGTTGCCACATTTTCTCATCAAGTAGGCTGTTCTCTTTCGTAATAGCACCATGCAAAGCCTACTTGCATGGTCAAATATTGCCACAGCTGGTGATTAAAAGCCAGCATGACTTCCATTCAAAGTAGTCTATTTAAATGTAGATGTCCATCCTGTTACCTCTGTGATAAAACATGCCTCAGAACACCTAAACTGGGCCTTCAGTTCCACTCTGCTTAACCATAAGCTCCAAAGTTTCAGTTAGGAACATCATAAGCAAATACTTGCAAATTCACGCTTTATGTTAGATCATTATATCCCAGTACAAAATCAAAACCTACTTTTGTGCATCCTGCTGCAGGGAATTCCTTCCTTAATTCAATTAAATAATTCCCTAGTAACTCAACGAGGAAGCTGTGGACTTTTGCTGACTCCCTTATTTAACTTGTCTGACTTATTAGATTTATTTTAGGATAGCAACACTCCTTCTTTTCTTCTGTTCTATCATTAATTAGAATAATTATTGTTGGTTCTTCCTGAAGGAACATCCAAACATAAAATTGTCCCAATTTGGGGCATTAAAAAAAAAAAACAAAACCAAACAAAAAAAACAACAAAAACCACCCATAATAATAATCATTGTTTCATCCCAACTACCTTTTAGCCCTTCACTGCTCTAGGGTTGTAATTCCTCAAGTGACTGAAAACCAGTGCCTCATCCATCCCAGAAAATTCTCACCAATTTACACAGCTTTGCACCAACAAACACAACATGGTTAGAGTGATAATAGCAAAAATTAAACCACATTGAGTTACATTGTCAAAAGCTCCCTTTTTTTCCATAGCACCTAGTTAAAAAACCCTTAACAACTACAAAAAAAGTGAGGTTGCCGATTCTAACAGGACACCTACTCAAGTGTCCAGAAGCTTAGTGCAGACTCAGCCTCCAGAGTTCAGTTTCCTCTTGACATTTAAGAGTTACATCTTTTTCTTCCCTGCAAAATGTAGGTTTATTCTTTTCTATCTGCTGTGGAGTCGCTCTATCTTCCAGCCATACCCTTAAGTCTCTCTCATGTACCATGTGTATTGCATTATCAGTTCTTTAACTGATATCCACTTTAGATATCCACTGCTAGTTGTGTGTCTCCAACCTTCCTGGCTGGTTATTGAGACAGTTA